CCCCAAAACCCCAAAACCCCATGAAGCAGAATTTATGAAATGGATTTAAATGTTGAATTTAATAAATTTAAAAGTGTTTTGTTGATTAAGCGTCGAATTTATATTAGATTACAGAGGTATATATTCCAAAGCTTAATCATTTAATTAAATAATTTATAATTGTATTAAATAAGGTTCAAATAGAACAATTTATGAAGAGAAAAAAAGAGGATTAAGAGCACGTTTCAAGAAAAGAGATCCTTATCACTAACTTGTGTTACTTGACCCGAGCGCTCGTAAAGAACAACATAATCAAATAAAATGGTTATATTGTCCTGCTAACTTTGGAATATTTAATGATGCTTTTTACCACATTAAGACTAGCAGATGTAAATACTTTTCAAGATGTTTTTGGTTCCATAGAATCCTTTTTAGATGTTGGAATAGACGATAATCAAACTCAGATTACTTCAGATACTCCAGCAAGTCTCATTACTCATGCTTAAACTATTTCAAACTTCCATATATACATAAATGCTATAATTACAGGATTCTTTTTTGGGACGATGGTAACTTTTGGATTTTAAATTTTCAAAATATCCAGCTTTGATAAAACAAAAGACTTTAATCTGAAATGCCATTTAGCGAGCATCTAATACGATATAATTACTTTAGTATAAGCTAATGATGTTTATACTTTGAAATTCTTGTCATTATTTCTCGTGCTTACCAAAACTGTGCTGAAGATGCCTATAATAATGAGTATCTTTATAGTTGTGAGAGTTTTAATACTCAATTTGTCAATTAAATTGCAATTTTTAGGGATTGTTTGTGTTGTTCTGTGCACATTTGAATTAACGCTTACTATTATTTATGCACTTAAATACTTCAATATGGAAGTACCAAATGACGAAGTGCAATGGTCATATAATTAATCTGGAGGCATCTACTTTAAGTTACTTTTATAGTTTATTCTATGTACCTAAGAGTTATATAGACCTAGACTAACTGAGAGAGCAGTGACTATTACAATATTACTTATAGTTATGGCAGTTTAGGTATTAATAATTGTCTACAGAATAAATACTCCAAACATATTCAATTAAACCATTCACAATTACACACTACTTCTAGAATCTTCATATGTTGCCTTGACTTTTATTGGCCTAGTGGCACTCTTAACTGGCAGGGATATATTCTCAACTCTAGCATACCTACTTATATTCATCCCGATAATGGTTAAGATCATATTCTTTGCAGATTAGCATAGAAAGCACCAAGTACTCTTTAAATTAAAGAATGAAGATTCATTATCAAAGAATGAGTACCTTATATGCTTGACCCATGTTCTGAAAATGATCAAAAGACAATCAGAAACTGATCTAGCTCAGCTAATGAGTTTCACTTATCAGCATAAATTGAGTTGCTATAATACTTAATGCATCTGCTAATTTTTCACCTAATACTGCTAAGATCCGCAGTATTTTAAGAGGAAAAAGAAATGAACTTACAGAGGCTATCTAGATGATGGAGTAAAGTTAATCTAAATACAAGATGAAGGGATCAAAGATTTTTTGGAGGATTAAATAAGCTAAAGTCGAGACAATGAAAGCTAAGCATAATCACAAGTCTTAGGAGATAATTCTTATCTAGTGGAAAGTACCATTAATGGTATTATTTCAAACATTGACATACTGAATTCCAATATGATGAATGACCTAACACAAACAGAGCAAACAAGAAACAATTTATCATAGAGCAATATGAACACAGCCAATAATATTCAAAATAACAATAACATTAACAACATAGATAATATGGCTACTGATGAAAGAGCTTAGCTGGGTAATGACCCAGGTGAACTAGGTTTAATGGGTTTCTTCAATAGAGGGTATATCCTTAGAGGAGCAGCTTACAGCAGCTATGACAGTAACATGGACTTTAAAATTAAAGGCGAATTTAAAAGTCCTTCACAATTCAAAACATCCCACGATTCATGAACTTATTTCTTCACTCGGCTACTAGAAACAATGTTCAAGTTATTGGAGAAGAAGACGTGCAAAAATACCTCGTTTTCTTTGATTTCAATATATTTCTAGTATGCATATTAGCATAACATCTATTAGGCAGTGTTTGCTATCGTAAAAGCAGCTCGTAGCTAGAAACGATCCTTAACTCAAAGGCTTCAGTTTTCAGTTACAGAGTTCTACCTACTTGAACTAATTTTATCTGAATTCAAAGTTACGAATTCAAAAGAAGAACTCAACTATTCGGATTTCATTGAGAGGAATCAAATGCAATAGAATTTAGACTGGCTTTTTGAAGACACCAGCAGTGATATTATTAATTTTTGGAAGATTTTCAAAGAGGAACAAGCGAATGTCTAAAAAGCCTACGTAATGGGACTGTAAATAAGTCAAAATATAAGTTAGATAAGAGATTTCACAAAGAAACTAGAGGAGTCATAAATGATAAAAGACTACAACAAATACTATTATTACGCCATGTTTTACTAGAACTTATTAAATGATAAGTAAAACTACAATCAAATGATTGGAAACTTGAAAAACCAATTAATGATAAGAAATATGAGAAAGAAAAACTCGAGGTTTGGTTAAATAACAGATATCAATGATCTTGGGTTCGCAATAATATCATTTGAGGATGATAAAACGCTTGGCAAGTTTAAATATGCAAATAGAGTAGCATGCTAGCTGCTTAATACTGATGAAGAAGCAATTATTGAAAAAAGCGTTAAGTAGATCATGCCTGAGTTAATCTGCCACAATCATGAACTTTTTATTAGGAGATTTTTAGCGGAGGGGCTTCCTAGGTTTATTGGAAGAGTAAGAACTATTTTCATCAAAGATTTCTCAGGCTACATTAAGCCAGTGTAGTTTTATATAAACTTTCACTATAACTCGAAATTCTCATATAGTTTTATACTCCACATTGATCCGATAAGTTCTATAACATTCCAAAATCATCAAGTGATACCAATGAAGCATGTATTTGTTATAATTTCTGATTTTCATTCGAATATTCAAAACATCTGCTTAAATACTAAGAAGCTGACTGGGTTAACATAGAAAACAATGAAAGTACAGGAGGAGATACTTGGAAGGAAAGTTAGAATGGAAGATGTAATATTTTAAATTGGCAGATTAGAATAGTTCCTTATAGATAATAGGTCTAACTACATGAATAATCAGATAGTGAAGGTACGAACTTTCAATAATAGCAATGACTAAAATTATATCACCTGTTCCCTTCAATATGAGGAGATTACGTACTTGAAAGGAAGCCCTAGTGAATTTAAGGAGAGAGTATATTTGTTTATTCCAGTTTCTAAGATACCAGAATATGATAATACAAGCATGATAAGCTCTAACAATATTAACAATTCTCAATTTTAGTCAAGCCAAAATAATTCTGGATAGGAAAATCAAGGCATCTTTAGTTCCTTTTACTTTACTTAAAGCGTTGAAGTAAACATAGCCAACGATGATAAATTTGGTTCAATGTCATAGAGCCGTTCCTCCAAGTCAAGCTCTACAGTGACTACTTCCTCATCCTTAAGTTATACTAAAGGAATGCTTTTCTAGCAAAAATCCCCTAAGATACTGAAAATCTATCTATATATTGTTTTCGGTGTGCTTTTCTCATTCATTACTGTGAGTTCGATAAACTTTATTATCTATATTCAAAAGAAAAACCTAGTAAACCTACAGATAAAGTTTAACAATCTCATTAACTAGAGAAATACCTGTCTTATTCAAACACTTTCTAATCTGAAATCCCTGCACTTAATTTCAGCAGATCAAACTAAGAATTCAAAAGTTAATATATCTAATATCATCCCGAATATCAATAGATTTGATTACTACAATTAGTACATAATTCAGAATTCTCTTTAGTTGCTAGATTATCATGAGGAATTTAAGTCTCTTTCACAAAGATATGAGACATTGGGGACTTAATCTAACTCAGATTTGTTCACGAGTATTAATCTAAAATACCTAAGCAAAAATAATCAGGTTTACACTTAAAACAATTCATTAGATTACGGATTGTCTCTTATAGTATCAAATATTGGAATGATAACTTTGAAGGATTTACTTGCAGAAAAGTTACCAATGAATCTTCAAGATTTGATTCTCAAAAATATAAAAAGTAATCAAACAGCATCGGATCTTTTAAGAAACATTTACTTCGTTTTTGAGAATGGAATGAATGAACTGAATTATCTTGGGGCATTATAGGAGTAGTATATTCAAAGAAATACAAAAAATACTTCTGATGAGAGCAAGCTATACATAAATTTAATGAGCTTCATATCAATCGGTATAATTACTCTAATAGGGGTATTTACCTTTCCCCTTCTGGGAAGAATAGAAGAACGAAAGATTAGTGTACTTAAATTCTTTAACCTCCTCAATCTTGAACAAATCCAAAATCAGATTAATATGGGTCGTGAGTTCTAAGAAGAATTCAACAATCTTTCAAGGAATATGAATCAGAACAAAAACAAAAATGAATATTTAGAAAATGATGAAGATTATTACGTAGAAGATGATAGTGAAGAGTATGACTAATAGACGATGTAGCAAATTGAAAATAACTTAGACAAGAAGGGGAGCTTAAAAATCTAGCATTTATCTGTAAATAACAAAAAGATAAATTAAGACTTAGTAGAGGTTGAGGATATATCATTTGATGATGTTAGGGATCAAACAAACAGTCGTGAGTAATTTTTTAAAGCAATAGTCTAAAATGAAAATGAAGAGGAGAACAAGAAAATCAACGATGAGCAATCAGATGATGAAATATTTGATACAAACAGAATAATGAAACACAGAGTCAAATTCACTGAATAGACGAAAGAAATGAAAAATAGTAATGGCATTACAGTATCATTTGCACCTGTTTCAGATTAATAGGCTACATTTTAGCCTAAGAAAAAGAGTACTTAAGGGTTGAGATAAAAGAAATCACCAAAAAAATCAAGAAGAAACTCAGAAGAGAAATATACCTCAATGTTTGATATTCAAAAACTTTTTAAAAAGATTTAGCAGAATGAGGCAAAATAAATAAAAATATCAGAAATGAGAAAAATGGGTTCAACTGACAAAGAAATCTCAGAGGAATTAAAGCAAAAAGATGAAGAAATGAAACTTAAAAAGTAGAAGAAAGAATTATCAGACAGCAAATAATAAACTCTCAAAGATGATATTAAAAGTAGTAAATTGTAGAATGTCTTCTAGAATCCTGGAGGTAATAAAAGAAGTAACATTATGCAGAAAGCTAATGAAGAAATGAAAGAAGAATAAACAAAAGTTGGAAAATTAAAACACAATTCTAAGCAATAAAAAAAGTAATCTAATCTGAAGATTGATAGGTCTATAAAAATGCAGCCTCTATTTAAAGCAAAATAACCAAATTAAATGAATGAGATTAAAGAGGATGACTCTGAAAGTAAAAATTCTGATGATGAAAATCAATAGAATAAAGATCCAAAGAATAATAAATATAATATCAGCAAAGCTGAAACAGCCTTGAGATAATTGACTAGTAGAACAGAGTATATTCAGGATTAGCTTGAGAAAATAGCTCTCAAAGAAAAGTTAAAGCTAGCTTTGTATGTTATTTTCGTTCTTATATTCCTGAATTCGAATCTAATTGCCAGTTACTATATCGGTTAAAAGACATTTAGTGAAGATTCTGAAGCTCTTAACGTTCTAGCAACATTTTATCATAAGGAAAATTATCTTGATAATCTCATATTCTTCACACAGGAAGAATTTATTTAGAATAAAACAATAATCATTAATGGGACAGATGCAGCAGATCATTATCTTTAACAATCTCAGACCAATGAGCAAGGCTACAATAATATTCGGAAAAGCTACCCTATATTCTTGTCGAATATTTAGGACTAGATAGACAAATTAGAGTCTAACGAGATTTGCAAGACTGTCTTTGAAACTAACCTTACCAAGCAGGAATCTTGCAAGACAGCCTATGACTCTATTTTCTAAAGAGGTTTGACCTCTACTCTATACATGATTTTCACATACACCTAAAATCTTTAAGTAAGATTTACTAAGGAGATCAGAACTCAATAATTCCTAACTGATAGGATTGGAGATCCTAAGCTAAAAGATCTAGTTGACTTATTTAATGAGTATTTGCATGATGCACTTAATTACTTGGAAGAATTGGTAACGAAAGCTGCTATTGAATATTTTGATTAGCTATCTCAACAATATCTCATTCTATACACTGCCTATATTGGCGTGTCAATAATTCTTTGCTTCTTTTTCGGCTTTTATGTATTCAAGAAGCTGAAATAACAAGTAATGACTTCTACTAATATTTTAGCGATTATACCCTTAGAGGATTTGGAAAATAAAGATAGAGTCAAAATTGAAGCATTCCTAAATTAATGAAAAAGGAAAAAAATATTAGAAAACTAATTATAAAACTCAAACTGAATTTATTTAATTTCTTAATTCTTTTAAAAATAATGATTTTAGACAAATGGGGTTTTGGGGTTTTGGGG